CACTGTAAATTTGTCCTATCAATAGATGTATATATGTTTTGTCCGTCACATCTCAGGAATAATAGTATTGTAAATTCTTGGGGTGTGACACTACTAAAATATGAAAATCCTATAAAGAATGATTAAAACAAAACACATTCAAATGAAGTTGAAAATTAATGAAACAATAGATTTTAACCCATTTTATCTTTTCCAATGGCTATTTTTAAAATTTTCTAAAAACGATGGGAAAATATAAAAATGAGTATTAATGACCAAAAGAATTTTTAATCTTCATAATGTAAAGAATATTTAAAAATGCATTACAAATCAAATTTCTTATTTTTGAGAATTTATATATATTTTTTTGAACTTTTTTTTTTTTTAAATGCCGGTTGATCACCCTAACTGCTCAAAACAGGAACTAGCCAATGACTAGTTCCGATCTAACCGGATGGTTAGAGGTTAGATCGGGCGATTTTGTGAACAATGCTCTACACACACATCAAAATTCAATTCCAACCGCCCTTGAGGAGGTGGTTGCCAATCTGCTAGTTTTTGACGATCCTTTTGGGCTTTTATAGTAAGGAGGTCAACAAAGTTGGTGAGAAATGATTATTTTGGATAACTCTCTAAGTTTAATGAGGCATGTGCCCAATGAATTACCAGCCTCATCATCACTATGGTAATATCTACTCGTGCTCTGGATTGTCCCTCGAACATCCGAGCATTCCTGTCCTTCCATAAAGTCTAGAGAAAGAATGGTCCCAGGCATAATCCACTGCCAAACTTGAGACCTAGCCCCATAAAACATTCACATAAGGGCAATGTAGAAATAGATGGTCGCTAGTTTCTGCATCTTGTTTGCATAAAATGCATATGTTCACAAGTATTTTGCCCCTTTTTCTGAGCCGCTCACTTGTCAATATGCAATCCTGCTCCAATAGCCATAAAAAGGCCATAACTCTTCGAGGACCCTTTATGCTCCGGACTTTAATGTTATGATTTTTCACTTCAAGAATTATATCATTGCTGATCTCTTGATGCAATGATTATGTTCCCAAATAATAGAATGTGAAAGGTTGAGTAGACTTGTTGCATCAAGGAGATGTATTGCTACTCCATAGGATCGAAATAACGTTTTGTGGAAATGATCTCTGGTGCCTCATAGGCCTATAGTTCAAATTTCATGTCATTCAAACTTGATTTGGTATACTTTCTTATACATGGGAGGTCAAGGATTTGTAGACCATATGTCAAGCATTGTTCATGAGATAGACAGACTTTTGTGTCTTCAAATTGTAATATCTCTTAAAAATAAAGATTTTTCTCATGCAATTTGTTGAGAATGTTCTTCACTCAGATTATCTTTCGTCCGTGAAAGGGTAGTTCCTAATGATTGTGTATCTTGGGAGCAATTTGTCTTGTCATAGAGGTGATTAAAGCAGAATGCAGATTGCTAGACCTTGGTGTCTTCAAATTGGATTTCTTGTAAGATATAAGGACTTTTCTCATGAATTTTTTTGGATATATTCCTCATGAAATGTTTAGGCCATAAAGTCCCTATTTGAGAGTGGTTTGAGCTACAATGAAGAAACTTATAGTAGAAATTAGAGCATGTGATAGCGTATGTTTGCCGAGCTAAATCTCAGTCATTTCTAATCCTTTTGTTCTTGAACTTGTGCCAATATATTCCTGAGTCTCCTATAATTGTACAAAATATTAGAATCAAAAGCTTCATGGTTTGAGAGATATCTAAAAAAAAAAAGCAGATATTGCTCATGGACTCTACAATGGATTGTCTATCAAGGATAGGATAGCTATAGGGATAGTCCACTTTTTCGGGCCTTGGATAGAAACAAACCCACTGAAAACTTACTCTCTCACATTCCTACGAGACGGAGGGCCCTAAACCACTTGACATATGATGAGAGAGACATTTGGTGTTGGGATAGTGATGCAAAATCACCTCCCATTAAAGCTGTGGCATTTCTCTCATTGCAAAGGTTATTTTCGTCATAAGAAATATAACTTTTATGTAAAGTCCTTATGTAGAGAGAAAAACGTCGGGTTTCTTTCGAGTGTGTGAAAAAAAACTCTTTGTAGAGAAAAAAGAAAAGCTTTGAGAAATAAAGAGATTTAAGGGTTTTTACACAAACCTTAGCTTTGTTGTACCCTTGTATTGGGCCGGATTTTATTGATATTTTTTTGCGACGATAGAGTTGGTTGAAGGTTGCAAGAAATAAGTCAATTAGTTGTTTCTTTGTGGCATGAAAAATTCATTTTGAGTTTTTCTCTACTATTGTAAGGTGATCTCTACATCCCCACAAAACTTGTAATACTTCCATTAGTAGTTAATCTATCATTACCGGGTTGCCCGTAGATGTAACCCAATTTTGGGTGAACAACGTACATTTCTGTTTTTGTGGTAATTGGATCATGGATAATAGTATCATGATTGCATTTCCCGTTTTAATTTCCCTTGATTTCATCTTATTTTTCTCAAATTTACTACATCATAATACAATTGTGTGCATGGATTTCTTAGAATCGATTTGCCAGTGATAGGCGAGTCGGTTTTGAGGTATTGGATTTATTATATTGGGGGGTTCACTATAACAAAGGGTAGTCGAGCAAGCCTTGGTTATCAACAAAGGGTATTAGAGATTAAGGAAAGTGTGTAGTGATTTGAGAAATTGACCACTTACAAATTTAAAGTAGAGAAATTTGATGGAACGAAAATTTTTTGAGCTTTGAAAAATAAACGTTCATGATATATTGGTACAACAAGATCATAATAAAGCACTACAAGAAAAATCCAAGAAACCAAAAAGTATGAAGGATGATGCTTCTGAAGAATTGGATACGAAGACACTCGCCACAATTCGCTTGTATATAGTGCATGAAATACTATATAATATAGTGGGAGAAAAGATGGCTAGATGGATTTAGGGACAAAGGTAGAAAATTTGTACCAAACAAAGTCCCTCATAAATTGAATTTTCTTAAAAAGAAAATTATATTCTTTGAGGAAAAGAAAAGCTATGAAATTGTCCATACACTTGAACGAATCCAACAATAGAATATGTCAACTCAAGAGCGTTGGGCTGAAAATTGATGAGGAAGATAAGGAAATAAGACGGTAACGTTGCTATGTTTGTTACCAGAGAGTCTTACTCTTATTACTACCTTGAGTTGTTATAATGACGAATCTCTAAAATTGGATTATGTTTGTAGTGCACTTCTTGCCAATAAACTTCGAAAGAAAGTGCCAATAATTAGTTCGATAGGTTCGAGGATGGCTGTTTTTGTGATACAAGGTTCGTTGGATGAATGGGCATGTTCATCAAGAGATTCCTCCAGTACCCAATCAAAGTCGAGAGAGTACTATGGCAAAAGTGGTTGTTGGTTTTGTGGCAAGCCCGACCATATAAAAAAAAATTGTTGGTTAAATTATTGAAAGGGTACCGGTGCAGGAGTAAAACGGCAAAGTAAAACTAATAGCGAGGCTCACTAAGTTAAAAAATCAACATCTAGTTATACTGAAGATGAGGTGTTGATGCGGCTATTAGCCATTAGAAGACACGATATAGCTACTAATTATGTTTTGAGAAGAATCAACATCCGGTTATGTTTTTTAGACACATTTTACAAAGTAAATATATCATCAAATAATATCATGCGACATCCGGTTATGTTTTTTAGACACATTTTACAAAGTAAATATATCATCAAATAATATCATGCGACTTAAACTATTTTGCCCATTTATTGAACAAAAATCGCCATGTAGGCAGTGCAAAGTAGACCTCAAGAACCTTTGCACGGGTTGTACGTTGCCGACAAGTTATTCTCACTCTTTTGTTCAATGAACACAAAGGAATATGCTTCACTCTCTCACTCCAAAGGGCTAATATGAGACATACAACTGACTTCTCTCTAGATTATGATAAAAATAACTTCATAAAATCATAGTGCAAAGTACTTATATTATTTTGAAATAAACCAAGGTATTCTTCAATACAAAAATGTTTGCTATTTATTTGACATGCTCAAGTTTATGTTACATGACTTATCAAGAGCTACATATCCATACATGCTCAAGTTTATGTTACATGACTTATCAAGAGCTACATATCCATACGATACGTATTCATTGTTAAGATATCCATATCCTATACCATGTTAAAATTCAAGGTTCAGAGAACCTCTGCCTCAGATCTAAGATTGCGGAACCTAATGCTCTGATACCATCAGATCTAAAGTTGAGGAACCTAAGGTTGAAAAACCTAATGCTCTGATACCATGTTAGAATTCGTGGGAGCATACATGCACAGACATTGAATGGAGAATGAATAGAAACGAAGAGAGAAAGTTCAGGCCCAAGCCTTAAGCCCACGGATAGTTGAATGGAGAATGAATAGAAAAGAAGAGAGAAAGTTCAAGCTCAGAGAAGGTTCAAGCCCAAGCCTTTAAGCCTACGGATCTAAAGCCCAACATGTTATATCTTCATTATTTTGGATGAATGTTTACATC